TAACAGCACAGACCCTTGATGTGCTACAATGAGAATGATATTCATCAGAGTATGGTCTTCCTCCCAAAAATCATACTACCTAAGTCTTACCATGAGAAGAACATTTGACAAACTCCCACAGAGGGACATGCTACAACAAACATGACCAATACTCCTCAAAACTGTGAAGGACACCAAAAACAAAGGAAGCTGAGAAACTGCCACAACTAAGCAGACATGACTCAATGTATATGGTATTTTGGATAGACTCTTGAGACAGAAAAAGGTATTAGGAAAAAAAATAAAGAAATGTGAATAAAATATGGAATTCAGTTAATGATAATACATCAATATTTGTTCATCGATTGTGACAAATGTGCCACGCTAAATTAAGATGTTAATAATAGGGGGAATTGGGTATCAGGTATATAGAAACTCTCTTGTACTGTCTTTGTCCTTTTTCTGCAAATCTAAAACTGTTTTAAAACAAAAAGTCTATTTGAAATTGTCATTGAATTTCATAGGACACACTTTTAAATAATTTATAGAATGTCGTCAACCCTTGATAACCTACATGAAATTTCTCTCAGGCCCCAATGTTAGAAAAAGTTCTCTCTCTCCTGAACAGCAGTCCGGTTCTTCTCTGTTCACTCGGTTCATCTTAATTAGGTTCTGATCCTTGTTTTCACCACGAGGAAGCCTGGAAACAAACCTATCAGTAATTATGAATAACAGAATAGTTTCTATGAAGCTTTTGGCATCATCTTCGTTATTCTTTTAGTATTTTCACTCCACTATGATTTTTTTAAAATGTTATCACTGTTTCTATCTTACTTTATTACTAGGCACTTCAAATTTCCTTAGAGCAAGAACTTAATATGTTTTGGTCTGATTATACAAAATTTTATTATTCAAATTTCTGACTTCCCATTTCTCATGTTACTAAAATTCTGGACAGTTTCCCACTCAACAGCTAGAATGTGGATAATTACTTCATTCAACTTCAGTTCTTGAACTGCAAAATGGTAACACCACCACCTGCTTTAACTGATGGTTTCCAGGGCAAATGTGTTCACATTTCATAAAATGCCTATTACAGACAAAGAAAATACACACATTAAATGACAATTACCATTATTATTACTAACAAAAGTGGCAATAATTATTTTCCTTAATACAAAGAGAATGGAGCTGAATTACAAATTAATCATAAGCCAGGTGGTGATTTTCTCAGTGATTCAGATAAACAAGAGTAGCTGCCATATTTTGAAGGATGAGAATAATAACTGAAGGGAGGTGAGGGAACAACACACGAAGGGGAGGGGAGAAAAACAGATAAGGAGCGGAGGGGGACCTCACATTTACTGTCACTGCCAAAAACAAGTCTGAAAGCTTTAAGACAAGGTGAAATCCAATTACTTTTCAGCCTTAACTCCACTAGAATAATAAAAAACACCCTCTAGCCCTTTTGGCATTCATTTCCCCATAGCCTCCCAAAACAATCATAATAAGATCCAAATAAACACCAAATCTGAATCTCCCCTTGGCCCAGGGGATGCCAAGTTCATGTTTTACTGCCTAGAGTTTCATTTTTGTTTTTGGGGGTTTTTTTGTTTTTTTTTTGTTTTGGGGTTTGGGGTTTTTTTTTTTTTTAAGCATCGTCACATTTAATTTCAGACCCTCCTTCATCTTTCTTACTCTTAAAGAAAGAACAACAGGGGATTTTCATTAAAAGAGCCATGCATTCTTAAAATATTATGTGCTACACCTTTTATTTACAGCATCTCTAAAATCCTCAATAACCTTGAATGGATGTCCAGATGAGGACCTGAGGCTCACGGAAGGGGTGGTGTGTGGGGTGTGGAGCACGTAATTTGCTCCAGGTTCCTGCAAATAATACACAGCACCCAGGCCAGTCTGACTACAAGGGTTTCCCCCTTTCCACTATGCCAGATATTTAATGCAAAGACTCCTGCCAGAATTGATAGAAAAAGGGAAGAAAATAAAATAGCTAATTCCTTCCAAAAATTCTTCAGCACTGCATTGGAAGTTTTCCTGCTACCTCACTCAGTCTGTACACTGAACCCATGGAGTGGGTGCTGCCATTATCCACTTATACGATTGAGAAAGTTCAGAGGGGTTACGGGTTTCACCCTGATCATGCAGGGGGAAACTGAGAAGGGAGAAAGAATTGGAGGCTAAGAAAAACAACAGGGGAGAGAGACAGCTGTAAGAGATAGGTGTGCCAGGGAGAGGGCAGCCACCTGTGCAAGAACTCAGTGCCTGGCATCCGAGGTCTGCAGAAGACAAGGACCCCGGAGGGGAGGCCTTTGAAGGCACTTGCAAGTGAGCAAGTACAGGGCAAGGGGCGCAAAGAGGAGGATTGAAAATTTGTACTAATAAAAATAGAATGAGTCATGAGTGTCAAAGCCAATTTTAAAAAATGGCAGGGATGACGGGACAGCCAATAAATCATTTCTGCGCATTAAACTTTATGCTCCCTTGGGGTATGAGATTGTCATGAGCAGGGCTGGAAGCTCCCCAGCACGTTCCGATAGGTCAACAGAAGCTCTCCATTTTTAAATTCACCAAATTCATTAAACCTTTTAAAATATTTCCAATCCCTGGAAGGGACTGGAAGTCCCATATTACTTTCATGTATAATCTGTTAGGCAATGTTGTCCAAAACTACCTGATCATATAACCACCTGGGGCACTTGTTAAACATAAAATTCCCAGGTACTGCATGGGGATTCTGATTCCATAGTCTCAAAATTGGAAGCCCTGGGTATCTGTGCTTTGAAAAAACGATTCAGCTAATTCCTACAATCAGGATAGTTTAGAAAAATTGGCTTAATAGAGCTCTCCAAAGAAGCTTACAAGATAGTCATCATGACCCCATTTTACAGATAAGGAACGTGAGATTCACATAAGGAAAGGACATACCCAAAATCACACAACTCTTGTGTGTCAGAACCAAGAACAAGAAGTCACATTGTGACTGCACGGTGGGTATGCATGACACCACATTTAAATCTATCTGAGCCAGAGCTAGCTTCAAAAAGTCTACTCCTCGATGTCTTCAAATGGCATGAGACACGAGGAAATGGGCGTTTAGGCTATCCAGCACCATCAGAAAGAACCAGGGAGCCCTGGGAACTCTGGGTTGAATAACACATCCCGACCCCCCAGAGAAAGAAAACACAGAAGGAAAGCAAGGTCTTCCTCTGTCTGTAGTAAATTGTGTCCTCAAGGTTTACAGGCCAATGAGGTATTCCTGATACCCACACTATTACTGCTGCTTTGACTAAATAGGTCCATTTGGCTAAAATAATGAAAACATTTCTTTCACTACTGCACAAAGGTTAAAAAAAAAACAAAAAACAAAAAAACCTATGAAAAAGTCCTTCCAGAAATAACTTCAGACAATTAATTTCACACCAAAAAAGGAATGTCCAAGATGAGATTCTCACCCACACCCTCACGGCCCCATTGGTGGTAACATTGTAACCAATGACTAATTGTATCTGCTCTGGTTAAGTTCAGACCACTCCTCCAGAGCTTTCCCCCCAGAGAGGGGCAAGAACCTGAGGTTCACTGAAGCCATTTGTACACGCATGTGGCTCCTCACTGCCCTGAGACCCTAGATTAATAATCATTTCATTGGTGGCAGGGGAGGATAATCCACATGAAAAATGATGTGACTGTGAAACATGTCTTCTTCTATCTCCTTTCTGAAAGGCCCTGCTGCTGAACTACCACATTCTTATCAAGTCTCTACAAGAAAAAGTCCAAACCACACAAAATGAGATAGAAAGAACACAGGGGAAATGGTACTCCTATCCCAGCTTCCCTTGAGTTTAAATAAAAAGGAAAATGGGGAAGATTTAGTCCTTTCTGAATGAGCTGACTTTAAGATACAACACCTGCCTCCACAAATACATATATTTATACAGGTTTATCTGTCCTCTGGGTATGGATCCTCTTCCTCACAGATTTGTTCAATATAGATTCTAACTCATTTTCAAGATGAGAAGACCCCACCCTGCTGCCACCCCCTTGTGCATCTTCCGAAACCTGAGATCAGAATGACAACTGATGCACATAGTTTGAGATTTCAGGTCAAGCCTGCCTACACACAGACACACGCGTGTGCATGCACACACAAACACACACACACTCTTCATTACAGCAGCCACAATTTCACACTCAATCAGTATTTTCTAAATTGTCGCTGCCATGTAGCACATATTTATTTATAACATTCATAATTAATTTAAAAATATTGCGGATTTCCAACATATACACCTCTACATTCTGCAATGATTCAGGTACCTTAATATAAAAGGCAAAATAGGTTCATAATACACCCATCAAGCTTCCTTAAAAAACATATGTATCTCTTATGGGTGAAAAGGGCAAAGGAATTAAGAAGTACAAATTGGCAGTTATAAAAACAGTCACAGGGATAGAAAGTACAGCATAGGGAATATACTCAATAATATTATATATAATAATTATGCACCGTGTCAGATAGGTATTAGACTTGCTGGGATGATCGCTTCATAGGTTATATAAATGTCTGATCACTATGTTATACACATAAAACTAATATAATATTGTATGTCAACTATAATAGAAAAATGAAATTCTTTTTTAAAAACCGTATCTCTTGCCTTAACTTTAGAGGCCAAAAAATATATTTTCCTTTTATTCACTAAGTAAGAAGTGCCTTTGGAAAACAGTCACATTTCATGATGGACTGTCCATGTCTCTTTCAAATGTGTCCAATTTCAATGAGTGGTCTTCGCTTGGATACCGCGTTCTGGGCCTCTTAGGCACAGTGGTGCTTGGGCATGTGCAATGAAGGTGGAAGATGGATTCAAGATGTTTCAAGTACGCAAAATCGCATGCAGATGTACAAACAGTGCGTCCAGTCAAAGCGAGTTAAGAAAGCAATATATATACAGATAGCCGAGAATGGATGAGCGCAAATAAAATCTAACTTGTAATTAACATACCGTGCTGTGACACCTGTTGCCTTCCACGATAAGAAGTCTGGGAGATCAAAGAAATGTCCCGCCTTATCCCAGCAAGTCTCTCTCAAGTTCTGCCAAATTAAATATATATTAGAATCAATTATGGCCTGTTTTCTCTACCCCTCTCTTCCTTCAATAATGTCTCAAAATTTTCAAAACAAAAGCATAGCCAACAATGCCCAATAAAACATCTGTTCAGGGGCTGAGAGAGGGGATGATGTAAAAGTGGTACCTATAGAGGAAAGAAATATTGGCAATTATTGATCCTTGCAAAAATGACCATAATTTCCCTTTTTTCTCTTTTTGCCAATCCGGAGGAGTAGGAAGCACACTCTGGGAAGGTATGCAATCCATCTCCCCAGTGAAGGACCAGAGTTTAAGCTTCAAGACATATAAGATTTCAAAGCTGAACAGCTGTAGGCTGTGTGTGTGGGTGGGGGTGAGGGGGAGGTGCGGATTGCACAAAGAAATTCATGCACAAACCAGAACATGCCCTGCCCATGGAAAACTCTCCCCACACCAACTGGTTCCAAAGGCAATAGGAAATGTGATTCCTGCCCTCAAAGAACTTCCAATCTAAGCCAAAGAAAATGGCACATAATCAAGTTATTACTTTAAGTTTTTAAAACATTTGTTTCTTCCACACTGCCAATGTGGTCAGAGCTTTTCTTGCCAGTGGGCGTTTTCTTTCCTCTGCCAAAGACACCTGGAACATTCATTCCTCACCCACCGCCCTGTTTCCTCCCACGGTCCACGTCACCCTGCTCCCTTTGGTTAACCCTACACACCCTTCCCTGGGCTGGCCTTCCAAGACACACGGCTCACATTAGGGCTGGCTCTCACACAACCCATACAACCATGCAATTATGTGTGAATGTCTTTCTTTCCTCTAGGATTGTAAGCTCTCTGAGGACAAGGACCTTGTCAGTTTATGCACCACGACTGTCCGGCTCTTCCCCCTACACGGGGCTAGACCCTTAGTTGTGAAGTAGAAACTACATGACTCCATTCCCTTCACTAGGCCAGGCTGGACATGTGACCTGAGCCAATCAGATCTCTCTCTTCTCTTAGGAATTTAGAATTAGGGTCCAAATAGAGTCATTCAATTTCTGCCTACGAATGAAACTGGAGGTAAGATAAACTTGGAAACTGTGAAGTGGCCATTTCCTATACCTGGAGAAGCAGAACTTCATAAAGAGAAGAGAGAGTAAAGCAGTCTAGAAGTAATAACAAAAAATGTTTCCTGCTACCCAGGCAACTGTCCATGTCTCGGTTTCAATTATCCCCTCCCCAACAGGCTACAATGACAATGAATGTATCATTATACATGTATCATTATACAATGAATGTATAAGCATGAGGGTATCTTGGAGACCCTAAGGGTCACAATGCAGAGGTCCAGAAGAGACATATTCCAGTGTCTGCCCGAGGGTGACACATAGCAGGCACTCAATAAATAGTTGTTGAACAACCAAACTGCTCAGTTTTACCTTCTGATCTCTCATGTGAGGAGGGCTTTGGGGTTCATGAGGGGCTTCCACGTGTGTTCTGTCCTTAGAGCAATACGAAAGTCCTGAGTGTTATTACATCTAATTTACAGGCATACAACTGGACGTCATCGACATGTGCCCTCAAATTCTGGGAGTTCTTCCTATTTCTTCCTTCCTATCACAACTATATGAACACAGGCATCTATGCACAGCAGAGAAACTTAGTATTACATCAAAAGGGTTCTGATGTAAACAGTTCCTTTTCTATTCTTGTTGTTGTTTGTTTAAATTCTTAAGCATTTGGATGAGCACTTATATCTAGAAAGGGCTAAAGCTCTCTTTGAACACCCACATATGTTAATGTTAAACAAAGCAAAATTTAAAGTTGACTACATATGCTCAACACAGCTATGAACCAGAGGCATCTTTATACACTAACAGGTCACAATAGAAAAAAAATAGCAGCCTTTGAAACTAGTATGTGAGTCAAAGTAGTGAAACTAATAGCATGCCTTCTGGGTAATCCAAAAATTCTCTTTCCATGTGCCTTGTGATTTCAGTAACTGGTTCTCAGGGAGAAAGAGAAAATGGTGTCTCCTCCTAAAAGCTCCAGAAATCCAAGGTCAGTCACGAGAAATGAACCACTAAAACCACTGCAGCAACAACCAGCGCTTCAAGCCAGAGCTGAACAAACTTCCTAAACTCAGAAAACAACTGCTTCTGTTAGATCTTCATAGGGTCATTAAAGACCTTGCAGAATGGGAGCTTTCACCGTGTGGCCATGGCCTCCTAGCAGAACCTCAAAGAGAACTTCAGACCTCTCGCCAAAAAGACACACGCTGAGGGTAGGAGCACAAGGCAGCCAGGAGTGTCATTTCTGCTTGAGACCACGCCAGCTTCATTGATCAAAGCCAGGGACCCCAGTTCACCCTCTCTACAGGATGAGAAACCAGAAACAACATCATATTAGAAGTACGAGGTATGCTGCAGAACATACATTGTCTTGGAGAAGAAGAAAGCAACAGTCTCCGCTTTCTCTACAAACGTAGCCTAGAGATTAGCCAGCAAAGGGGAGGGAGAAAGAGTTTGCCTGGATGAGAAGGAAAGTCTCCAGAAGCTTGATCCCTTTACTTCAAGAGGCTGAGAGACTACCTGTGAGGATCCCATGATGTTCTCATGTTGGGTTACCTAATTCACAAATGTTCTGTCATCAAATGACAGACTGGTCAAAGGCACATTAGCCCCCATGGACAAAATTTTAATCCAGTTCTGTGGGAAAAAATCTCTCTACCTCTCTCCTTCCCCAGCCAGTTCAGTCCCAGCCAAGGGCCTCAATCTTACTGAATTAGTTCTATCCTTGTAACCATTGGGCCTACATCAAGACACAGTGACTGCCCTCTTACATTCCTCCACAGCTTATAATAGGGCTCCCACGTGCCTCCTCTCATCTGATTCTCTGAGTGGTTCAGAGGCATGTAGGCAATATACAATAGTCAAATACAAAGGATGTAGAAACTGGTTTGGATGACAAGATCTTAGCCCAATGTCACACAGGGCTGCCAGCTCTAAAGTGAGCATTCCTTCCTCCCTACGCTACAGAAGGCACCACCCTGAGGCCCCCAGATCTGTCAGAGGAGAGGGTTTTGGCCTTTTGGAACGGTCATGAAGGAAGCTGTTGTCATTCTTTATAGAAAAAAAAAAATGAAGAAAAAGAAATTTCTAAAAAATAATAAGAAAATAAAGACCCTTCCCAAACACATTTTATATATATATGTATTTTTTAATTTCAGAGATTTCACTTTCAATCCTGAGAAACTCACTCAACTTCTCTGTACCCAATAACAGCTTCTCTGCACTGATGGTGGACGGGTTAGGGGGAGCACAGAGCAGTCCTCACATGTGCAACCTTAGTGGTACGTCATCATACTGAGCTAAATCCAGTTTTAACTAGGAGACCTCTGTGCTGAATGGGTTAAGTCTATCCTCCAGTTACCAAGCAACTAACAAAAATGAGTCTTTTGAAGAAAAAAGACATCAGCCATGATTTGGGGTGTGTGACTTGGCACTAAGACTTCTGCATTCCAATAAAAATCCTTTGAGCAAGCAATCCCCCAGGCTTGAAAGCAACCAAAGGAACTCTTTACTTTTTTTTTTTTTTAAATCACGTATTACTTCATAAAACTACAGCATTTCTTGGGAGGAGGCACTGCTCAAAGAGCACACAGCTGCAGGTCTCAGCAGAGGGTGGAGGTGGAACAGTATATCCTGGACTCCCGGCCAGGCAGCAGCCACCCCAGCCTCAGGGCAGGGACATGAGGATTTCTCCCCTCCCCTCTCACTGGAGGCCTTAAGGTCTGAGCTGGCTTCTAGACGCTGAGGGAACTTGTGTGGAAAATGAAGCAGATACTGCAATGCTCGTTGGAGGCGCCAGGGTCAAGGTGCAGCAAGAGAAAGCTGGGATGACCAGTTCCAAAAGTGTTGTCCATGTATTTCATTATTTATTGTAAAGAGATTCTATCTGGAATATCTTCAGTGGGCAGTGAATAAAAGGGAGGGTATAGAGTTCTCTAATTCTCCATCCAGTAAGTGCCTGAACACTCCAAATACTCACAATGTTGTTTTCCAGCACAAATACCCACAAAAAAAGCCAAACCTTATCCTCACTCTGCATTCAAGACTCCAAATTAGGGCACGAGCTGATGGTCCAGAGAGGAAAGATGTATCAGGAAGAAACTTAATTCTCAAATGTCATTCTTAAAAGAAAAGTGATGCTGAAAACATGAAGTGGGTCATAATCCCCAACCAGAAACTTCCCAGAATGAATGAAACAATTGTGTTTCAAACTCCCATCCACAGAGAAAAAAAATCTAACACTGGACATATTGCAAGTCAGACAGACAAACAGATACACTGAGAGGTCTGTGCTACTAGAAGCATCTTTCTAAAAACTGAAAATGTACCATCATGTTCCTTTGTTGAAAATGGTTTGACAGTTCCCCATGGCCTAAAATCACATTTTATCTCCTTGGCATGGTTCTCAGGACATTTAACAACCTGGCTTCAACTCGGCCATTATTTTTATGAATTCTTCTGGACTCACTGCCCATCACCCCCTCCTAGATCTCTCCGTCCTGCTCTCACCTCATTTCTCTCACTTCCCCAAATGCATTATGCACTTTTATATTTCTGTGCCTCTACTGAGGCTAATGCCTCTACTTGGATTGACTTTCCCATCTTCTTCCATGATCAAAGTTTTCTACCTTTGATTCAAGTCCAGCTCAAATATCACCTTTTCAGTGAATCCCTCCACCCATCCTTTGCTATATCCTAATTACATATTCATGTGCCTACATCCACCTCGTGGATTTGACAAACTCCTGGAGGGTAAAAGCCGACTCATGGGGGAAAAAACATAAAAAGTTTCAAGGCCTATAAAGAAATTTAAAGTCAGAGCCTTTAAAGTTCAAACAGAGATGGAAAAAGATGTGTGCAAAGGAAAAGGCAATTAATTTAAAATGATGTATGGCAATAATGTAATGAGCACAATACCAAGGGTTGGTGAGTCAGCCTCCTAACGTTAT